CTCCCACAAAACCTCCTTTACCCCCTCTTTCCAACCCTTTCGAGGAGCCCCCCTACCCCTTCCTTCCTAAATTTATATCCCTTTCCCGTCTTCACTTAAATCATTTCTCTAAGACCAAACCACCTCAAACCATCTTCTGCCCTCTGACTAATGCTTATTAACTCCACACCTTCTCCTAATTCACACTCCAAATTTCGCATAATATTTACCAACATTGCCCTTAGACAGGACATTCCCTGCTAAACCCGTCTCCTCTGCTTGCTGCATTACCACCCAAGTTTTCCTCCATAAAGGGAGTTTTGGTATACTATTTTTTCATACATTCCCTTCTTGCCTCCATTAGATAACGAAACAAATACTCTTAACTGTGTACAATTAGTACAAAAATTATACCCTATAAAGGGAAGGCAGGAAAGGAATATTTTTCTACAGTTATCCCTATAACAGGTGACGGCTAGAGAAAAGTAATTCTTCGAAAACTTTACAAACGTTGGTAAACATCTCATATATATTTGTATAAATTTTATACTGTGGGTGCTGTATCATGTTTGTGTGTTACATAATGTGTTTCTTATATAATTTTGAAAAAAAAAATAATAGATAGATTAAGGGAAATGTTATATTAACGTAATATGCGACATTAATGCGCCCAAGAGATTTATTATTATTATTATTATTTTATTATTATTATTTATTGCATCAAGAGTAGAGAGACTTAGTGATTTTTAATGTGTACCTACATGCCAGCACAGTGTGAAAGTTATTTAGGTACAGGTGTACACAAGTTTAATTATCAAGTACAATAAAATATAAAATATACAATAACTTTAAAACACTTGAAATTTTGGAAAGTTTCCAGACATAATAAGGAGATTGTGCTCAGGAGAATGTAAACAAACTCGGTGGGCCCAGCTGTGACCGTATTAGAAAGACAGGTGGGGGGAGCGTTTTAGCGGTTTTGGTCATAATTTGAAATGTCCGTATTAGCGGAACGCCGTAAAGTGGGGCCCTGCTGTATCTATTATGTCCTGCTTAAGCCAGGTCTCAGTAGAATAATGCAGGGAAAAGGGGTTGTCTTTAGTGATTCAAGGAGTGCCGGGAGGTCATCATAGTGTTTGCTTAAGGCCCTGATGTTGTAGTTAAGTACTGATAGACTTTTAGCTTTGTTTAGGATAGTGCTGGCTTGTGATGCTGTGTAGTAAAGGCAGTTACTTTCCAATGGTTTTGATTGTGTGTCAGATTATGGAGGTTTAGTTTCGGGCAACGTGACCCAATCATCTTCTAGGTTTAAATTATGGTTATTTATATCCTGAGTTGGGGTTAGTTTTCGTACTGATATCTGTAGTGGTGGGAATTTTTGGACAAGTATATAGCTATAGCATTTTGGTCAGTAGAGTATAGTCACTAATACACATAATGGAGTTAGTGTTGTCTATGTGTTGTGCTGGAATGAGCTAAAATACAACTAGGTATAAACTAATAATATAAAATACAAATTAAAAATAGCACAAGACTCTCACTTGTTAATTGCACTAAGGTTAATGTAATGACTTTGGTATAGTCTATGTATTGAGCTAGAATGAGCATAGTACAACTAGGTTTTAATCTAATAATATAAAAATACAAATTAAAAATAGCACCGACTCTCACTAGTAATTACACTATGGTCTAATATAATGAATTTGGTATTGACTATGTATTGAGCTAGGGAAAGAGCTATAGTACAACTGAGTTTAATCTAATGATATTAAAAAGGCACAAGACTCTCAATTGTAATTGCACTAAGGTCTTATATAAGTTTTTTTACAGAATTAGAGTATAACTAGATTTAAATTGACAAGATAAAAAAATGCAAGTTAAGGTAGCAAAAAAAATAAAAAAAAATAGAAAAAAAAAATATATGAGGTTTTGTTGGTACTAGTTAGCAAAAGATAGTTAAGGGCCCTTTAACAATAATATAATTGAAATATACACTAATTGCACAACAAATTTTAGTCACTAAGATATGAAAACAATCTTAGAATAGGACTTATAATATAAACTTATAATATAAAAATACAAATTGAAATGGTACTTGCAATTGCACTAGGGTTGGTATAGGTTGTTGACAAGATCAAGGGGGTATAACTAGATTTAAATTGACAAAATAAAAATTCACAAATTAAAGTACCAAAAGAATAATAAGTAAAAAATAACAATGGCAATGTCTTGGTTATAATATGATAGTAAGATGGTAGACAGGTAGACAGGTACACAGATACACAGGTACAAAGGATAATATAAAGGTTGGAGTTTGAATATACAAACTTGGAAATTTGGCAACAAAATGTTATGGGAAGTATAAAATAATGATTAATTTTACAAGAGTAAAATTGACTGATAGTAAATATGGTGTTTAATAAATTTTTTTTAAGTAATATGATTACAAAATAAGTGAAAAAGTAATGTTTATTTCTTTCAAAATTGCACTGGTGTTATACTTGAGGTTTTTGGCAGTACAAGGTAATTAAGAGTACTCTAAGATAGTAAATGTGGTATTAAAACTGGTTAAGGTAATTAGACAAGTAATGGTTATTAAATGATGTCAAAAATGTTAAGAGTAAATTGTATTGATAGTAAAAATGGTAATTATTAATTTTAGTAAGTAATATCAATTGATAGTATTTAAAAAAATAGGTAGAATATGGACAGAGAAAGTATCGATTCAGCTAATATTTAAGCAAACAATAGTAAATAAGAAAATTAGATAAGGTGACTTATGCTTACTAGTAAAATCACAAAATGAGGTAGTTGATTATTTAATTACTAAGAGATTGTACTTCGAGAAATTTGAACAATAATGGAGCAAAACATACACTACATTACGTAGGCTTTTAGGTTGGACATTTAGTTATTCTCTGTAAGATCAGTATCCCTGAGAAATCGTGATAGATCATTCTCGTTCGTGATTGTGTACAGTTGACCTACATTTGTTTTCCTAACTAGAAATTTTCCCATCCGTGTGAAGCATTGGTGTATTGGTCATTATTCTCCCGCTAAGTTTTCTGACTCTAATACAGGAGGTTTCTGACGTTTTTTTGGTAAGACTCTCGTTTATGTATACCTCTTTCTTTACTTTAATAGATGCAATTATTAAGTCTTTTTTTTCCCGTCATGTGAGTGGAATCTAAGCATAAACTTTTTCTACCATGGGATCCAGTAACCTGGCTTCTTTTATTTCTGACCTGGGAACAATAAACACTTGTTTGGTCCTTTATGATCTGCCAGAGTAATTCTTTACTGTTTGTTTGGTTCATATCACTGGGAAAAAAATGGACTGTTAACTATTACTGCATCCGTTTGTTTTTCTTGCTCAGTTTTATCTTCTTGAGAGCAAAGTAGTCACTGAAAATGGTTACTAAGTTGTTCTTCCATTCTTTTACTGCTTCTTCAACCTTTGTATTTAAAGATATTATTTGTTCTGTGTGGCTTATGGGCTGTTTGGATGGTCTTGTCACCCGTTAGTCATTCCTGGTGTTGATAACTTTTGTTCAAGACTGAGGATTTTGTTCTCGAGTTGTGTCATCCTGGTGTCTTGTTTTGTTAGTGTCTCTTGAAGGTTTATATTTTCAATAACTAAGGTGGAGATGCATGTCTTTAGGGTATCTGGATCGTTGGTCATACCTGAGAGACTACTTGGTAGGTTGAATCCGGGGAAGAGAGGGGAGGATGGGCTGGTGGCAGCCATATTTGTTGTTATTGTTGTGGTGTCGCCTTGAGCGGTGGTGAGTGGGGTGGTTGCTGGGCCGGCGTCCTCCTGGCTACACTTGTTGAATAGTTGATTTTTCGGTGTTTTCTTGCTGGCCTTGGTGTTGTTTCCTCTTAGATTGCGCCTCATAATACTAAGGAATTGTTGTAGTTAAGAAAAAGTAGTTATACAAAGCTTGGGGTTACGTTGTTCTGCTGGCAGCGGGGTGATGCTTTTGGTTTGTGGGCAGTCTTCCTTTGATCTCTAATATTTTCGATTTGTAGGTTTCACTGTTGGTAATCTTGGTCATTCTGGGTGCTACGTTGGGTGGTGCAGTTTTGCTTGTAACTAGGTCATCATAGGAGCATTGGTGGCTCTGATAGTTGGAGAAAAGTACGGAGCTTGGAGGTTGCTGCTGCCGCTGCTGCCGCTTTTATGAATGATGAAAGTATTTTCTTTTTGGGGATTTTCTTTCTTTTTGGGTCACCCTGCCTCGGTGGGAGACGGTCGACTTGTTAAAAAAAAAAATAAAATAAAATAAATTCAGGGAAACCGGTTATTTTTATATAGCTGGACTTGAGTCCTGGAAATGGGAAGTACAATACCTGCACTCTAAAGGAGGGGTTTGGGATATTGAAGCAGACCTAGCAAAAATTGAATATTTCCTATACACTGAGCCTTATTTCAAGCTATTTCTGGTCCTGAAACCAAACAAAATCATCCCTATTTCAGTAGTATTTCTTCCATTTTTTTCAATTGATACCAAGAAACATCTTGCTTTTCCTATCAAGCACTGTATGGGGCAGGATTTTTTTTTATACTGTGAATGCACCACACAGATCGATTCTCTTATGTCTAGGCCAAAACTTACTATTTGTAGCATATTTTAATGCACCGCATTTAACCCTTAAACTGTCCAAGCAGCTCTACGTTCACATGTGTAGTGCTCCAAAGTAGATCTACGTTTTTTTTTTACATATTTTCAAATATAACAAAAAAAAAGTAGATCAAAGTTTTTTTACATGTTTTCAAATGTAAAAAAAAAAAAAAGATCTACTTTTTTTACATACTTTCAAATGATGAAAAAACGTAGATCTACGTTTGGGACAGTTTTAAGGGTTAAAAACAGATCTACATGGGTGACACTGTCATCAGCAATATACATCTAGGTAAGAGACAGTGAAAGGGTTAATACATGCAATATTTTTCTTAAGAAATTTTATGTTTGGTATACCAAAGAGATTTCCTCAAAAGACAAAGATAATAAACTTACCAACTGATAAAACATGCCACAGTTCAAATTTGTTTAGGCAGACTCCATACAAGAAACACTTTCTCTTGAGAAGTATACATGATCACCATTTTCTAAACAAAGCCGGCCAATTAGACAATGAAGTTCAGTTAATAAAACCTTTTGCAGCACTCTGTAGAAAAAAAAAAATGATTAAACGGTTAGCTAGAATACACACACTAAATTTATGTTAACATGATACTAAAATTACATAAAAAATATATAAACATCTGATGAATTAAAAATTTCTTGCCCTATAGCTTTAATTTAACTTTGAAAACAAATTTACACATGCTCTTCCTTATCTTCTATCTTCTGCCTGGTCTATAATGAGAACCCTATTTGATGGCCCAGTTGGCTCCATCAGCCTGATTTTTTTTCAAGACATCTTAGTGATGTTCATAATCAGTCAGACAGTCCAACACAGGTCTCACAGAATGATTGATCAGAATTATTTTTTAAACATACTAGCCATCATCTACCAAGGTAGGGAGACCAAAAATGAGGAAACATCAGTTTTTCAGATGATCCTCTGAAATGCAACATCTTCACCCTCCCCTTTAGAGTGTAAGCACTGTACTTCCCACCTCAAGTCTGGCTAACAGGTTTTCTTGAATCCACTTGTAAATACAGTGGACCCTCGGTTATCGGCCAAAATCCATTCCAAAAGGTCGGCTTAAAACCAAAATGGCCAAAAACTGAAATAATATTTCCCATAAGAATTAATGTAAATCCAATTAATCCGTTTCAGACACATTCTTACCTCGACTAGTGGCCTACATCTCACCTCCTGGTGGTATATAAGGCTCCATCCTGTCACTTCAAACTCCATATTGTTTCAGACTATGGAACAATACTCTTCTCCAGACTGAGGGACTGACCACCTCAAAACTTCAAGGGTGATGGACTGATTACATCATCTCACGTCTCTTCTGATTCTATCAACTTTTCTGTACTCGACTAAAGAAGCCTACTGTGTAGGCGAAATGTTTCAAAATAAAGTTACCTAACTGTTGCATATGTCTTACCTAACAACCTGTCGATATTTTATACCAATTTAATATTCACATTTTTTAAAGATTAACTATAGTTTTACATACCCAAAACAATGAGAACTAAATAAAATGATTAATGTAATGGATAAATGAACATTTAAATCACTTTTACCTTTACTGAAGAGTCTTGTTGGCGTATGCAATATGGAAAGGAGCGGAGAGGGAGGCGAGTTTAGTTTGGAGACAGGACAAAATGCTTAAATATGACGCTATTATCAACTCTACAGCTTATTTATCTATCACAATTCATCTAATATGACATAATAAACAACAGTAATGACAGAGGAACATGATATATACTACTCTAGAATGAATAACTTATGTCATTACATATATGGAGTGGTGGTGGTGTTGTTGGGTTTATAAGGGCCACTGAGAGCATAAGCCGTACATATTAGTAGTATTGGAGGCAGCAGCAGAGGCCACCACCATTATTCACACAAACAATGTACGTAATTTATAAATAAGAAATATTTACACTTTATAAATAAGAAATATTTACACTTACCTTGGAGGAGATGCTGGCAGGGCAGCGTATATTGTCAGTGGCCCTATATACCTCCAAAAACACTGGAGGAGTCAGTTTCATGTCGTCCTTTTTCTATCGCTTAATCGCTTAACTACTTGCTACACCATTAATGCTACACTTTATCGCTGGCTGGCGCCATAGCCCTTATCGACTCCTGCTGCTTTAGTATTGTACATATCGTAGAATCACTGAAGAAGGCACAGTCTCCCTCTCTGTTCCTCCTTCACTCTCATAATTTTCAACAACTTCTTTTTTAAATTCCATCGTGTTTTTCACTTTCTTTACCAAAGGAACTTTCTTTGGATCCATGGTTGCTTATTTCGCCAGTTGCACTTAATCAATAACCACAAAAAACAATGGATTATAGTGAAATGTTTGGATGAATGCACAGAGGCTTCCTCACTTGCCCAGAGACTGCCAGACTGATTCACAAATGCGTGGAGCGGCGGGTGGACACGTCCAATATGGCCCATAACCGAAATAGAATTTCAGCCAAAAGACCGGGTGAAAACCAAACTGGCTGATACCAGGAATGGCTAATAACCAAGGGTCCACTGTATTGCCTTCCTCACACCCCAATAGCACGTCGTCATACAAACCACTCATCTCCACCCATTCTGATCAAACCATTCATCACAACTGATCTAACATGGAGGTTCATGCCCACATTGATGGGGTTGTATAAAATAATTTAAACACTGCTCAATACTAAAATATGTAGTTTAAACACTGCTTAATACTAAAATACATACATAAATACAAAAGAATTAGACGGCATAAATGCAAATTTAACCTCATTTTACTTTGCTGAAAAAGAGTTGAGTGCCTACTAGGATAGCGGAGAGAAGGGAGGAGGAGGAAATGTTATTGTTTGGAAAGAGTCCCCTTCTCTTTTCTGTCTCTTTTTTCCTATTTGGACCTGGTTGAAGCTCACCAGGTTTGACTTTTACTAAAAATCTGTCCAAAGAACTTTTTCTTCTGCTTTCTCCTCTGGTGTTTTGGAAATGTGACATTGTCTGATCATTCCAGACAATGCTATTATGGCTTGTTTGGGCTTTGTTGGGGTGGTACTTTTCTGCAAAGTTTCTGACGTCCATTCATTTGGCAAAGATTTCCTTGATTAATGATGTAGGGGCTTCCTCCAAGCAGAGTTCATTGTTCTGTATGAAACTTCCTGCCAGGCTTTGTCAATGAGAGTTATGCAATGGGCGAGAGTAAAGTGATCTTTCCAAAACTCCCTCAGGGTTAACCATTTTCTTTGTTACTTGGCTCTTCTCATTAACTTTCTTAGAATTCATGGTTAACAAATTTACTAAAAATTTATAAGAAAAAAAAACACAAAATCACATGAAAAATTCACAGAGTTACAGTGTGGGTTGTTTACTGAATGGTAGCACTGAGAGTACTGACACAAGTGGGCAGTTGTGGTTTTGTCTTGAGAAGAGAGGCAAACAAGGATAGTGCACTGTGTTGTGACTCATTTTGACCCATACTAGTTCTAGCATGAGAGTTGCATTCTAAACAAAGGTCGTATACCAAGCAAAAATTTTCGCATCCAAACAGGATGTACGTATACCAAGTTGGACTTATTCCAAAGCGGACATATACCAAGGTACCACTGTACTAGAATAACATTACATTTACTGGGAAAGTATTAAACCCATAGGGGTTATACAGCACTTGGGGGAATGGGAGGAATTCATATATGATCCAAAGAAAGCAAAGTCAGGTCCAATTCCTTGGATCAAGAGCTCCAATAGAATTTTCAAGCTATACATTCTTCCGTATAGCTTGAAAATTTTATTGAACTCTAAGACTACTAAAAGAAAGCCATTTCCAAAGTAATTATATTTTATGTTATATCCTAAATGAACACATTGAACCCTTAAACTGTCCAAACTCAGATTTGCATTTACTTGCGTAGCGCTTCGAACGTAGATCTACTTTTTTTTTTTTTTACATGAGAAAGCATGTAAAATCGAACTTAGATCTACGTTTGGAAAGTTTAAGGGTTAAGCTTACCTTCTTCTCTTCAGTCCATGATTCAAGTGATTTTTTTATCTTACGTTTAGCCCCAGTTGACGGATCAATATCGATTTCAGGTCCTTCTGGAGCACTCTGTACTTGTTTCTTCAACCTTTCTGCCACTGATTCACTTTTGCTACTTTCTTGGCTTGATGACTGCAGTGAGCTTGTCTGAAATAAGTCCTTCTTTCTAAGGTACAGTATTCCTTTTGTTTACACAATCTTCTAAACTTATAATATTTGCTGTATCAGTCACACCTGGTAACTTTAAAATCTGCAACAAGCCTCATACATACAATACATATACAGTACAGATCAAAGGTAAGAAGGAGAAAGAACAAAATCAGGAAAAGGAATACAGTAGTGTCCTAGAGCAAGAAGCAAAATATAATATTCAAATATGTAATAAAAGGAAATCATATGTGAAAGAAAAAATATGAAGAATTAATTATGACGATGAGATCTAGGAAAGGGAGGTAGCACCAACTGCCTGAAACAAGAACCTTTCTTGAAGGTTCAGGAAGGAAAGAAAGCCCCAATTCCTTGGAACAAGAACCTTTCTTGAAGGTACCATGAAGGGAAGGAAGTGCCAGTTGGTTGGAAAGAGAAGAAATTAGAGGAGTACAAGTGTGAAAATATCTCTCTGGGGAAGTGGAACAGAATTTTTCCTCCCTAAGCCATGTGTATCATAACAGGCAACTAAAATGCAGGGAGAAAGGGGTTAGTAACCCCTTCTCCTGTATAAAATTACTAAAGTTTAAAAAGAAAAACTTAATACTGCATTATTTTAACAGCATTAATATAAAAAAATGATAAGAAAGCAATTGAAGATAATTGTATGGCTGACAAACCACCTGTAATTTTTTTAAGCAGCAGTCACTTTTCATTAACCCTTAAACTGTCCAGCGTGGCTCTACGTCCACATGCGGGGGGGCTCCGAACGTAGATCTACGTTTTTTTTTTTACATGCTTTCAAATGGGGAAATCAAGGTCGCAGCACTACGCACGTGAATGAAGATCTACGTTTGGACAGTTTAAGGGTTAAGTACCTATCTCGGTGGGAGATGGTCAGTGTTAAAAATAAATACACTGAGGCAAATCTCTTGAAATTTCAAAGAAAACGACTTCAAAAAATTAATAAGGAGTTTAGTGATTATTATCCTATGTATGGAAAAGCGATAAACCCATAAGAGCCTTACAGGACGGTGGGTGAGGGAAAAAAAAATGAAATGGTGAAATCTTTTTTTGAGGGTAATGACAACTCAAGTATGAAATTTGATGGAAAACTTATGGAATTATGCAGGATTAAAGTTAGTGGCCAATTCCATTGTTCTATTTGACCAAATTCTTAGCTATTTTGCTAGTATGCCTTCCATTCTTTCAACTGAGCACAAGAAACCACCTATTCAACTATTAGAACTATCCTAGAAAGTGCAAAGAAATGAGTAATTTGGCTAATTTTACATAAAAAAAAATAAGTAGTCCAAAATAAACAATGTATCCATTCTAGGCACTAAAACAGCATTTCCTTGGTTCATTAATCACGTCCCTAGGCTTCTTCTACATTATACCTGACTTTCATTCTGAATTCATAATCACACAAAAAATTAAATACAGCCTCTCCTCACTTAATGACAGAGTTCCGTTCCTAAGACCACATCAGTAAACGAATTCGTTGCTAAGACAGGAGCATACTATAATGGTAGTGGGTTTGTGTCAACCATCTTTGATATTGTTTTAATGTCACCTCTGCACCATTTATAACATTTCTGGTATATTTTTAAATGTTTATACAGTAGTGTACTGTATACTGTAATAAACACAATAGAGGAAATCAGCTCTAATACAGTAGGGCCCCACTTATACTGCGGGTTAGGTTCCAGGCTGTCGCCGGAAAGCAGACATCGTCAGAAGGCAGAACGCCATTTTTTTCATTTATAAATGCATATAAATGCCAGACAACAAGTTTACACCAAATTATATTAAGTTAGTAATAGAAATAGGCATTAAAAAACAAAAAGTAAATACATTCACAGTACATTCATTACTTATCTTAAAGTATTTGTAATCTTAATGTAGGGAGAGAGGTGAGTAGTACTTATTTGTAGGAAGTCAGGTGCAGGTAGCCCTGGCTCCCCGTCTCATACTTAATATACGATATTTAAAACATCCCAGAGAGGTAAAATACACATACAGTACACTCATTATTTACCTTAAAATATGTGTAGTCTTAACCTGGAGTTTACCTGGAGAGAGTTCCGGGGGTCAACGCCCCCGCGGCCCGGTCTGTGACCAGGCCTCCTGGTGGATCAGAGCCTGATCAACCAGGCTGTTGCTGCGGCTGCACGCAAACCAACGTACGAGCCACAGCCCGGCTGGTCGGGAAAACCGACTTTAGGTGCTTGTCCCAGTGCCAGCTTGAAGACTGCCAGGGGTCTGTTGGTAATCCCCCTTATGTATGCTGGGAGGCAGTTGAACAGTCTCAGGCCCCTGACACTTATTGTATGGTCTCTTAACGTGCTAGTGACACCCCTGCTTTTCATTGGGGGGATGTTGCATCGTCTGCCAAGTCTTTTGCTTTTGTAGTGAGTGATTTTCGTGTGCAAGTTCGGTACTAGTCCCTCTAGGATTTTCCAGGTGTATATAATCATGTATCTCTCCCGCCTGCGTTCCAGGGAATACAGTTTTAGGAACCTCAAGCGCTCCCAGTAATTGAGGTGTTTTATCTCCGTTATGCGCACCGTGAAGGTTCTCTGTACATTTTCTAGGTCAGCAATTTCACCTGCCTTGAAAGGTGCTGTTAGTGTGCAGCAATATTCCAGCCTAGATAGAACAAGTGACCTAAAAGGTGTCACATGGGGCTTGGCCCTCCCAAAGTTTGAGTTCTCATTATCCATCCTGTCATTTTTCAGCGATGCAAATTGATACAATGTTATGGTCCTGAAGGTGAGATCCTCCGACATGATCACTCCCAGGTCTTTGACGTTGGTTGTTTCGCTCTATTTGTGGCCAGAATTTGTTTTGTACTTGATGAAGATTAATTTCCTCGGTTTACCATATCTGAGTAATTAAAATTTTCCCCTCATCGTTGAACTTCACACGTTTTCTGCAGCCCACTGAAAAAATTGTTGATGTCCGCCTGGAGGGCCTTGCAGTGTCTGCATGAAAAGACACTGTCATGCAGATTCGGGTGTCATCGCAAAGGAAGACACGGTGCTGTGGCTGACATTCTTGTCTATGTCGGATATGAGATGAGGAACAAGATGGACGAGTATGTCCCTTGTGGAACAGAGCTTTTCACCAAAGCTGCCGGACTTACCTGTTGACGACTACTCTCTGTGTTCTGTTAGTGAGGAAATTATAGATCCATCGACCGACTTTTCCTGTTATTCCTTTAGCACGCATTTTGTGCACTATTACGCCATGGTCACACTTGTCGAAGGCTTTTGCAAAGTCTGTAATATATTACATCTGCATTCTTTTTGTCTTCTAGTGCATTTAGGACCGTGTCGTAGTGATCCAATAGTTGAGACAGACAGGAGCGACCTGTTCTAAACCCATGTTGCCCTGGGTTGTGTAACTGAGGGGTTTCTAAATGGGTGGTGATCTTGCTTCTTAAGACCCTTTCAAAGTTTTTTATGATATGGGATGTTAGTGCTATTGGTCTGTATTTCTTTGCTGTTGCTGTTACTGCCCCCTTTGGGGGAGTGGGGCTATGTCTGTTGTTTTTAGTAACTGTGGGATACCCCCATGTCCATGCTCCCTCTCCATAGGATGGAAAAGGCTCGTGATGGGGGCTTCTTGCAGTTCTTGATGAACACGGAGTTCCATAGTCGGGGCCCTGGGCAGAGTGCAGGGGCATGTCATTTATCGCCTGTTCGATGTCATTTGGTGTCAGGATAACATTAGATAGGCTTGTGTTAATCAAATTTTGTGGCTCTCTCATAAAAAATTCCATTTTGATCTTCAACTCTCAGTCTGGTTAGCGGCTTTTTAAAAAAACTGATTTCATATTGGGACTTGAGTAGCTCACTCATTTCCTTGCTGTCATCTGTGTAGGACCCATCTTGTTTAAGTAGGGGCCCAATACTGGACGTTGTTCTCGACTTTGATTTGGCACAGGAGAAGAAATATTTTGGGTTTTTTTCGATTTCATTTATGGCTTTTAGTTCTTCCCGCATTCCTGACTCCTATAAGATTCCTTTAGCTTAAGTTCGATGCTTGCTATTTCTCTGACCAGTGTCTCCCTAAGCATTTCAGATATATTGACCTCTTTTTTGCCGCTCTTTATTCTTTTCCGTCCCTGTAAAGGGGGTACCTGTCTCTTTCTATTTTTCATCTACCTCTCCTCCTTTTTTCTTAGAGGAATAAGCCTTGTGCATACAAACGAGTGCCACCAAGTTAATCTGTTCTAGGCATAGTTGGGGTTTGTGTTGCTTTAGTAATCTTCCCAGCTTATATCGGTTAGGACTTGGTTTACTTGGTCCCCACTTTATGTTTTGTTATTGAAGTTGAATTTTGGGGATTGCTCCCTGTGACTAGTCTCATTATATCGGTCTGGGGCTCCACACATACATGTCTGAACCTCAATTATGTTTTTGATCTGAGTAATTGTTTTTGAATGGTGACATTTCTTATCAGATCATCATTGTTAGTGAAGATGAGGTCTAGTGTAAATTTTCCAGTCCTAGTAGGCTCTATTTTTTGCTGGTTTAAATTGAATTTTGTGCAGAGATTTAAAAGCTCGTGTGAGTGTGAGTTTTCATCAGAGCTGCCTCCTGGTGTTATTACTGCAACAATATTATTTGCTATATTCCTCCATTTTAGGTGCCTTAAGTTGAAAAACCCCCCGGAGCAAGATGTTGGGTGCAGGAGCTGGAAGATTTTCCAGACAGTGGTCAATTTTTAACAGCTGTTCCTGGGAAATTTCTGGGGTGTTGCATCCGGAGGGTTGTAGACTACCACAATGACTAGGTTTTGGTTCTCGGCCTTTACTGCTAAAACTTCCACTACATCATTTGAGGCATTAAGCAGTTCTGTGCAAACAAGTGACTCTGCAATGTACAGGCCAACTCCTCCCCCTTTTGCCTGTTCACTCTGTCACATCTGTATAGGTTGTAACCTGGGATCCATATTTCGTTGTCCAAGTGATCCTTTATGTGGGTCTCAGTGAAAGCCGCGAACATTGCCTTTGCCTCTGCAAGTAGTAAACGGATGAAAGGTATTTTGTTGTTTGTAGCTGGCTTTAGACCCTGTATATTTGCGAAGAAGAATGTCATCGGACTGGTGGTATTGTTGGTACTGGGGGGGGATTTTTTTTTCCGGCATTAGTATCTGTATCTGTTGGTTTGGAGTGGAAGAGTGGAAGAGAGGTGAGTAGTATTTATTTGTAGGAAGTCAGTGTAGGTAGCTGGTAGGTGTAGCCTGCCTGGGCTACACCTACCGGCTACCTACACTGTGGCCCAGAGCCATATTATTAACATAGACATACCTTGTTCACTGAATTTAATCGTTTCTAACAACTACCTTTAGATGCCATCATAAACGAAGGAAGAAGTAATGAATAATTCATGCCGAAAATTGTAAACAAAAGCGGAGTGGGGGAGTGGCTGGGCCAAACACAGATTCATACACATTTTCTCTGATGGCTGAACAGAGAAAATGTAATGTTGTCCCTCCGGCCGGCTACCACACAGCTCTGCAAGTATTATTATCAGAGCACATATAAAATATGCAATAAATGTCAGACAAGTTTACACTAACTTATATTAAGTTAGCAATATAAATAGGCATTAAAAACACAATAAAAGGTAAGATACACACAGAGTACACTTATTACTTACCTTAAAATATTAATATTAATATGTGAGAGGTGAGTGGCAGGGTGTTTATTGAAAAAAATTAGAATGGCACACCCTCATCCTCTAACTTGGCACTTAAAGCAAGAGGCTTATGACTCCTCTTTTTATCACAGCTAAGCTAGAGCCAACAAGTTAACGAAAGAGTAAACGAGAGAGAGAACGAGATACAGAGTTCAGACAATGTAAGAATACAAACTGAAGAGGTATTGGGTGATCAATTGGTCAGGCGAAATAAATGGGTATTAATGTGTGTCTTTTAGTTCATTCACGTACGTTTGTAAGAGTTTGTAAAACATTTACCTCAATTTTTTTTTATTATAAAAATAATTATCTCACAATACAAATACTCTTACATTGTGTACAAGTTGTACAAGTTAGTACAGAATAAACAAACAGCAACACACCAGTTTTATAGTGAATGAAGATATTATTATTATTATTATTATCATAATAAAAAGCACTAAATCCACAAGGGTCGTGAATTGCTATATATAGAGTGAAGGCATACAAAAAGAATATTTTTCTACAGTTATCCCCCAGTTTGACTAGAGAAAATGTAATTCTTCCGACACTCCCTACACAGCTGCTTTGTAAACAAATCTCATATTTACGTCAATTTTTATTCTGAGTGTATGTATCTTGTTTATATGCTATGTAACAGGTTTCATATATAATTTTGAGGAAAATATCATAGATGGATTCATGAAAATGCCTATATTAATGTAAAATAAGACATTTAGTGTACCCAAGAGTGATTATTATTACGTAGTATTGGCGTCAGAAGTAGAGAGACTCTTAGCGATTTTAATGTGTACCTGCACACCAGCACAGTGTGTAAGTATATTTAGGTACAGGTACACATAAGTATAATTATCAGAGTACATATAAAATACACAGTAACTTTAAAACACTTGAAATTTTGGAAAGTTTCCTGATATAATAGATGTGGTCATGGAGAATGTAAACAAACCAGGTGAGGGGTGCCGTATTTGAAAGACCGCTTGCTGTATAGCAAATTTTGGTCATACTTTGACATTACCATATTAGCAGAACGCCATAAGGCGAAACGCCGTAAAGCGGGGCCCTACTGTATATATTATTTAGGTGTGCATACTGGTCAGAGAGCTCATCATAAGTCTGAGTCGTCAGTAAACGAGTATATCACTAAATGAGGAGAGGCTGTATTTACCTAGCTATTTCTCAGATAATAAAATATAACCAGTAATGATTGGTCACAGTTTATGAAGTACGGTGGAACCCCAAGTTTTGGCCATAATCCGTTCCAGGAGCTAGGCCTAAACTCGAAACGGCCTAAAGAGAAAGCAATATTTCCCATAAGAATTAATTTAAATACAACTACAGTGGAACCTCAAAAATCGAACTTAATCCGTTCCAGGAGCTAGTTCTAAATTCGAAAAGTCTGAAATTCGAAGCAATATTTCCCATAAGAAATAATGGAAATACAATTAATCCATTCCAGAAACCCAAAAATATTCACACGAAAAATACATTTTATAGAGATTAATTACAGTTTTACATACAACAAATACTATAGTTTTTAATTATGTATAGTAACACAAATAAAATAACATTTTTACTTACCTTTATTGAAGACTGGTTATGGCATCTGGAAGATAGGGAGGAGGAGAGAGGGAGTTGGGGTTAGTGTTTGGAAGGAGAATCCCCCTCCATGAGGACTTCAGGTAAAGCCCTCTCTGGGGTTACTTCCCTTCTCTGTCTTTTAATGCCACTAGGACCAGCTTGAGAGTCACTGGACCCCTTTCTCACAAAATAACTATCCACAGCTCTCTGTTTCTGGCGCCTCTTTAACATTTCCCTAAAATGGGACATGGTTCTGTCACTGAACTTGTTGCAAAGATGGCTTGTTTCACTTGTTCAGGTTTGAATTCTTCACTGTCTATGTACCCCTTAAACTCCTGTACAAACTTCTCAGCCGCCCATTTGTCTGAACTGGCTGCCTCACCATGTCTTACAACATTGTGTATGCCACTACGCTTCTTAAATCTGTCAAACCAGCCTCTGCTGGCCTTAAATTCACTATCAGCACTGGTTCCAGGAGTTTTCTGTACCAGATCGGCATGCAACTTCCTTGCCTTTTCGCAAATAATCGTCTCTGAAACACTATCACCTGCAATCTCTTTATCCTTGATCCACACCAGCAACAACTTCTCAACCTCTTCAACTATCTGTGGTCTTTTTTTGGTCAGCATATTAACACCTTTCACAACATCAGCTTCCTTGATTTGTTCTTTCTTTGACAGGATAGAACTGATGGTCGACTTGTTTTTCCCATACATCCTGGCAAGCTCTAAGTCTCACGCCACTCTCATACTTCTGTATTATTTCCTTCTTCACATCTATGGTGTTTCTCACTTTCTTTACCACAGGGGTACCACTAGCAAGTTTCTTTGGGCCCATGGCAGCTTATTTCACAGTCCCACAAGCACTAAACACAATGAAATAATCGTAAAATGTGTGAATGAGAGCGCAGGTTAGTGTTCACTCAAGCATAAACAAAGCTAGACTGCTCACTGTGCCTGCACGGGGACGCGGACAGAGCGGGCCCACGGACATGTCCCGTACCTGGCAGTCCGAAAATAGGGGCGCGTTCAATAATAGGGGGACAGTTTGTCCGAAAAATTGGCCCTAGTTTCGAAACGTTCGATATGTGATACGTTCGATTTCTGAGGTTCCACTGTAATCTGTTCCAGACCCACAAAAAATATTCACAAAAAATACATTTTTTAAAGAACAACTATAGTACTTAAAACATACATATAGTACTTAAATGAGTAATGTAATACATAAATAAACATTTAAAATCACATTTACATACCTTTATTGAAGAGTCTTGCTGGCATCTGGAAGATAGGAAGGAGGAGAGAGGGAGGACTTAATGTTTGGAAGGGAAATCCCCTTCCATAAAGACTTTATGTAACAAGTCCTTATCTGGGGCTACTTCCCTTCTTTGTCTTTTAATGCCACTAGGACCAGCTTGAGAGTCACTGGACCCCTGTCGCACAAAATAACTTTCAAGAGTGCTCTGTTTCTGGCGTCTCTTTAAGATTTGCCTAAAATGGGACATTGTTTTGTCACTGAACATGTTGCAGAGATGGCTTGTTTCAGCTTGCTCAGGGTGGTATTTTTCCACAAAACTTTGCAACTTATTCCACATATGTCCTTAGTCACTGAAGAAGGCACCTCCTTCACTCCCTCTTCCTCCTCCTCCTCCTCCTCTGAAGCAAGTTCCTCAGCTGTGGTCTGATGCAGTTCCAGTTGAAGCTCTTGCTTCAACTGCTGCCACTAGGAAGTTTCTTTGGGCCTATGGTGGCCTATTTCACAGTCACAATCAATAAACAAGCACTAAACACAATGAATTTATTG